TGTTTTTTACATTACCATACATATAGCCAGGCTGGTATTTGCCTATCAGTTCTGGAATTAGATTATTAGTTGACACAAAGATGGAACAATACTATATAACTACACTGATGATGGCAGTTGATGCCGAAAAGAGCTTTTCTGTAGTAATAACGTTATTAATAATGTTTTGTCAAAAATGTCAAATATTAAAAGTTTTTTGTTTAACCTTAAAAAACTTTATCAAGATGATAAAAGTCTCGTTAGAAAAATTGAGAAACTCAACTACAAGTTGAATAATGCCGAAAACGCAGTGATCTTTATAAATAATTGTATGTATGTATATATATATATTAAGTTTACGCTTTAAAGGAATGCATCATAATTAATCATTTGAAATTTGATAAAAAAAATTTTAAAATTAGCTGGCAAAAACTACGTTACAAATGCTTTCCAAAAACATAAATACGCATGCCATAGTAATTTCAAATATGTACCCACTAAAATCCGGGCTAAATAACCAAATAATGTGATCATGATGATGGTCAAATAAAGTGATCGAATGATCAAATAGGATGATCAAAATGACCCAATGTTCTTTTAGCAGCTACAAAATCTTCATGTGCCCTACTAAACAATATACCAACAGACTTAATGAAACAGTAAAAGTTTTGGAACTGAACAACGGTACATACTGACCATTTTCACTCTCATTGATGTTGCAATGTACATGGCTGATTGATTAATATCCAGTAAACTAAACAAACATTTAAATAAACATAACGTGATAGAAATTATATATATATATATATATATATATATATATATATATATATATATATATAAATACAAATGTCAATAAATATGTATCAGTTATATGTATGTGTGTGTGCGCGTGCGTGAGGATGGGACACATAACGTGGGAATGTGCTTTCAAGTATTTTTCAAATTTCATCAAAAACAATCAAAAAAAAATAAGTATTAGAAAAATGTAAATGAAATTCAGAAAATACAATTCTACCTATAAAATTTGGACCTACATAATTAGAGAAGAAAAAACGAAAAAAAATTTAGTTAACGATTAAGAAATTGGTGACGTGATGACCGAACGAACAAACGATGGCGTTAAGGAGAGAAGTTCAATCGAACCAATGCTAAGGTACGCTATTAATGAAGGTATAGTGAAAGGGAATTACGAAATGAAAACCGTTGAACGCGCAATTTCAAATTTTGAGACTGTCTGATTAACGATGAGCTGAATTGAATTTATCACAGATTTAATGTTTATATAATTCAAATAAAATAGACATTGGAAACAGTCAAAGCCATTAATTACGTTAAACAATAATAATGAAGGTTGTAAAAGTAATGTTGAAATGAAATAATGACGAAAATCATGGAAAGTTTGAAAGCAAATACTTGATATAAAATGCGATGTAGAGTGATTGATATATTGTGGTTGACGACATCATCGGTTGACGACATACCCTGACACTGTTAATCAATTCCTAACCTTTGAATCACCAATTTTAAAATAAGTTTAAATTTCGTTTACAGCGTAGAAATGGCAAACCATGTACATTGCAGGTTGAAGCATGCACAAGTACCGACGCAGACTCCACTGATACTGATACAATGTCGCATGCACGCAACTCGCAAGATTTACCGGATTCATTACAAAGCATTCATTACAGTCATATCAACAAACGTCAGTCTAAAGTTTCTATCAAACGCCAATGAAAGTCAAACAAAGATGCCAAACGCGCTGAATGATGGTTCATAAACGATTGAAAAACATTATCTACAAATTAATTAACTAATTAGCACATCATTTCAGACGATAGATAATCTACATTTCATCATTTTCATTATTACTAATTTGCAACAATAGTAACATCACTTCAACAAACACAACAATAAATATTAAAAAAAAACATGAATCGGAGAACTACAAGCCGACGCATCTGTGTACTGAACTATGAAATAATATAAGTAAGCTACTTTTCTCAAGGATATAATCTCAACTACTTTCCATAAAACTAAAGTGGTTATTTGTTTAATTTCTGGCTGCTTCCTGATGAACAACAAAAAATATTTAACAAAAAAGTGAAAACATTTCTACCTACCACACAGAATAAGCTTCACAAGGCATATAATACACTTTTTAATTAACATAGATAAGATGAGAGTGCAAACAAACAAAAACACACACACATACACAAACACACTAACAACAGTCGTTGAATGTAAATTATTCGATTAAAAAGTTATTAAAAGAATATGCAAACACATTTTATTCAAGTAGAAGATACAAGTTTGACGTATATAAAAATAAATTCACTACACATCATGAACAAACTAACTGTTGGTATCGTCACTACATACTACATATGCATATACAAACAAATAAATAAATTATATATATATATATATATATATATATATATATATATATATATATATATACACACACACACACACATATAGAAATATACCGTTTAATGGTAAACCTTGTCCAGACATAAACTAGCAAACTAGTGCATCAGTGACAGCTATGTACAAACATAAACACATAAATGTGTTATATACACATAATAAACATATGTCTGTACTATACCAAACTCGTAAGCAAAGATATAAATAAATTTATACACACATATACATATATATATATATATATATATATATAAAATATATATACACATATATATATATATTTATAAACACACGCAATATTAACTCCTAAAATTGTCGCACTAATCCTAACAAACGTCATCTCATCTGCTACAACAAATAGAAAATAGTTTACAGCTGTTGTTTAAGCCTAAATCTCTCAAGTTAATTGCCGTCCAGCTTGTTTCTCTTAGTTATGTACATGCTACGTACTGTGTACATGTACAGGTTCTTGGAGATATGCAAAATACAGGGGAAGGTCCACAGACGAACCGTGGCCACTTCTATTACATATATTACCTTCACGTTCAATATAAGCAACATGAAAATAAAATATTTATATATATATATATATATATATGTGTGTTGGTAATAGACCATAATTTTTACAATATTCTATAAATTCTACCGAATGTTTGGCGTTACATTTGCCAAACATTCGGTAGAATTTATAGAATATTGTAAAATATATATATATATATATACATTTTAATATAATTTATATAATATTAATTAATTAAATATGTATATATGTATGTATATATAAATATATATACATACATATATTAAACATACGAGAATTTGGCTAATCACTTAATATTAGTCCACTCGATGATGAAAGCATATCCGCTTCACAGGCGATGGACCATCTTAAACAAACTTCAGATGATCACTCTGTGCTGGCGCCTAACTCTCAATGAATGCCTCTAAAATTATATGCATATGTACGTAGTGGGATGGGATGGCAATTGAGAAGCACAAACTCCGAACAGCACACGCCGTAAGCGAGTAAAGATGACTAAGTTATAAATCTAATTCAACACACGTTTAAAAGAAAATGAAGAACAACGACATTGTTAAATGGAAAAACATGAGAAAACAAAAATTTGTATTTCTTTGCACTGCAGCACGAACTAATGCACTACAACATCCTGCTACAGTTCGTTTTCACTTTGAGATCTTCAGAACATTCACGTGAACAAGCACAAACTAAATTACAACAAACTAATATAGAAACATACACACAACATATGTACGTACGCGATAAACATAGGTTCGCACGATTACAAGTATGACATCAAGTCAAAAGAAACGGAAAATCAGAATGCTACCATACTGGAAGAATTTCAACAGGTTAATATTGGTAACGTTAACCTAGCTACAAATGGAAAAGAATATATATAACTTATCGTATACAATATACTACTCAATCATACAATATAATATATAATATAATATATAAAGTGATAAAATTTACTACAGTGTATAATAACATCTAAGACGTCCACTGAATGTATCGCGCAACGGACGAGCAACATGTAGCTAGTCAATCCTCAAAATAATCGGAATCATCAGACTCATCGGCCTCACCAGCATCCTCATCAGCCTCAGTAGCAGCAGCCCTCCCTCCTCTGGAGAAGTTCGTTTCCTCATGGTGACCCGGCTTGCACTTGCTGGTTCTCAGTGGGGCGACATGGGTGCTGGCCATGTGCTGAGCAGCATGGAAGCAAACCGGTGGGAGGTCGTTGCTGGCAAGTTGCAGGGAACACCACAACCCTGTCCGAGCACTTCGAATCTTGTGCGCCAACTTGTCCAGCGCAGAAGCGAGTGCAAGAACGTCTGCAATGATTAAACACTCGGATTGGTGTATTTTATTTTGTGACGGTAATTTGTTCGTTAATTATTAAACTCGAAGAGACATTAAAATGCATGTACCAAATTTCTACCTTCAAATCATGATATTAATAAAAATCAAATTTTTCTTTAAAGATTATTTTCATAGTCAATGTCAAACTTCATCACCAAATCACAGCCGTCATTAAATCACGTACATTCAACATGCTAGAGGACGACATGCAACTTCAACAAAAAACCCGTAACACCAAACACACAGATAATCTTACTGATCCAGCGTCAAACCTACAACATTCCAAAAGCATTTGAAATGAAAAAAAAATATAACGGTAACCCTTTTCTTTCTGCTGCTGTGGATTATTAAGCTGATGTCTGTTGATGGCGTTGATGATCTCATCCTTCCTGCAGGACTGAACGTTGTACACCGCTTCCAGCCAGCCATTCATACTCCGGTAGATGCCATCAGGAATGTTCATTTCACGTAATTGTTCCATCTTCAGCATCAAAGTTTCAACCTGGAATGAGATCCAACCAGCCAAATAAACTCAATCAGCGACAATCAAATGGAAAAAAACCAATTGAAACAAATAAACCCAATCCAATCAATTTTTAAACCAAAATCAACCATCATCAACTTACAGCAAGAGTAAATGAGAAAAAAAATTTAACAATTAAATTAGCAGAGTGAGGCAGAAGTAAATAAGTGAGAGAACGAACCCTGGCGTGTTCCTTCAATGTTTCGACCACCAATCGGTCCACCCTTGACGGGTTCTGAGACAATTGCACCGGAATGACCTTCAAATGTTTTTTAACAATTTCAACCATCATCATACATCGATGAACATTAGAATGCAGATGATTTTAAAACTAATTTTAAGTTATGTTCTATAAGTGAAATATTGAAATCTGGAAAGTTGCAATCAGAAATTTCAAAAATGAATGTTTTTAAAGACTTATGATTTATGGCATTAGAAACGCTATCAAATGAACATTGGAAAACATTTGGTATGGAATATCCAAGATAACTGGACGAAATAAAATAGAGAAATATAAAATGTACATATTGCATCTGAGTCAAGCAAGATCAGTTTAAAAAAAATTGTTTTTCTATTTTAAACAAACAAAACAAACAACCAAATAGATGCAAATACATACCTTGTTGTTGTCACTGGAAACATTTCGTCCTGGATTCTGCCTGGCCAGTTCAGCTTCTGTCTGCACAAAAAATTTATGAACGAACTGTTAAATGTACGAATCTAAACAAGGTGCATACCAAAACAGTGAACGCAGGCAAAAACGTTTGTAACTGTTTAACAAAGGCGAATTAGCAAATAAGATAATATTGTTGAGAGACATGCATGATTCATTGCATGCCCTTATTTCATCTCGCTAGAATTCCACTGGGTATCATAAACTCGCTTGGAGAGGCAGAAGGTTAAAGGTCATATGCTTCAGAAATATCAACGTCACACATATTGGAGGTGATAGGTGGGGACCTTCTTGCAATTAAACCAGGTCACCGCAAGGCAAGACCAGGTCAGGTGCCCTAAAAAATCATCGCCCTAAAAACTAGTCTTAGCAAAGTATGTTTGCATCTCATATCTCACAGATTAAGTTTGTGTAAGTTTAAATTTGAGATTTTTACATTCCTTCCAAATTGACCACTAAACAATTCCAATAGAAAATTATTTCAAACATCCCACAAAACGTGGTCATTTTTATAAAAAAAAAAAAAATTAGTCTGATCGACCCAAAACAAATACAACTTCCACATCACTTCAATGATAAATGATTTCAAGCATGCATTTGTATCAACATATTTTCAAAATTTTCAAGTAATAATTATAGTAAAACAGAAGGCACTGGCCAACTTTTCCATTAAAAACATTAACTATTTAACATGCATATCTCTTATGCAGACGATTTTTCAATCTACACTACAGGTCCGAATGCAGATGATTTGACACTTCGGCGCAATTGCTACCTTCCGAAGCTTTACGACTTCTTCAATATCAGAAACTTGGAGATTTTCACCTCCAAGTCCACAGTCACCCTCTTCACCACTCACACTTCACAGTATCACTATCATCCAGCAATAAAAATAAATAACAATTTACTCCACTCGAACATAATCCAAAAATATTAGGCCTCACGTTAGACACGATGCTGTCCTTCTCACAACACCATGAAGAAACAGCATCCAAGGCCTCAATAAGAAATAATATTTTAAAGGCACTAAGTGGTACAACCTATGGCCAGGACAAGGAAACTCTTTTGCAGACCTACAAAACCATCGGTCGTTCAACAATCGAGTATGCCTGTCCTGCCTGGGCACCACTGACATCAGACCCAAGCTTCTCACGTCTTCAACGCTCCCAGAATGCCGCCCTACGTCTGATTACAGGTTGCCATGTGATCGCCTCAGAACGGCACCTTCATTCAGAATGTCAGATGTTAACGGTAAGGCAGCATTCGGAGCTAATAGCATCACAATTCCTACTCCTATGCCATGACCCTAGCCACCCGTGCCATCCTATCATCACGCAACAACACCCTCACCGCAACATAAAGACCACCCTCCTCTCCAAATGGGCTTCAACAACTCATGCGGTTCTACCAACAACCCTAAATAGCGATTCTCTGAAGTCCGCTCTAAGAACACTACACAATAATACAATCAAAGCCGCCACAGAGACGTATCAGTCGCCGTTGTTGTTGCTTGACGGATGGCCTCCACCTACACCAAAAATAGATCCTACAGAAAAATCACTTCCCAGGGCAATCAGACAGACCCTAGCCCAACTTCGTTCTGGCCATAGTATTCTTCTAAACAGCTACAAAAACAGAATCGACAGTGGGCACCTCAACACCAGTCCTTTCTGCAACAGTCATACAGATGATGTACCGCATCTGTTTAGCTGTTCACAAAACACCACAAAACTACAACCAATAGATCTCTGGAGAAACCCAATTGCAGTGGCGGTTTGGCTCCGGCCTCGATTGGAATGGGGCAACAACAACAACATGCATATATATATATATATATATATATATATATATATATATATATATATATATATAATAGGAATTTCCCTGCTAGTAAGCGTAATTAATTATAATAATAAATTCAACAATGTCGTCCGGTAGTCGCTACTGTTGTACGAAGTGTACAATAAAAGTTCCAAGTAAAGATTTTTCATGCACTTGTTGCAAGACTTTTGTTCACAATAAATGTGAAACTAACGATGATATTCTTGAAATTTTGAGAAGTGTTAAAGGTTTAAAATGGTTTTCAACGTTGTGTTGATTTGTCTCAAGATGTTAGTTCTTTGGCTAAGTCAATGGATGCGTCTAAAAATGAATTTGTTGCTCAACTAAATGAAATGAATGATGGTAAAAGAAAAATAAAACTTGACGTTGATAGCATAAAAATGGTTGTTGACCATAACCAATCTAAACTTGACGAACTTGATCGTTTCGATACTGTTTTACACGAGGAAATTAAAATTTTTAAAAACGAAATAAAAGAAACATTTTCTAGCATTGTCAGCAAGGAAGTTAAATTGAATGTTGAAGTAATTAGAAGTGATGTCAAATCAATCCAGAAAACTTTATAAGAAGCTAGTGACGTTAAAGAAAGAGAAACAAATTTATTGATGTTTCGTTTAGCTGAAAGTGATGATGATCGTTCCAATGTTTTGAAAATTTTAAAGCACTTAACAGGAGATGTTTCTGAAAAAAATGTAATCAAAATAATGAGACTGGGAAGGAAATGCAAAACTGTCGTTAGACCCATTTTGATAAAGTTGGATTGCGTTTTACTCAGAGACTCAATAATGAGAAATGTATATAAATTCAAGTCGTTAAAAGAATTTTCACATGTTGGACTGAACTATGATTTAACAAAGGATCAGAGGCAGGAATCCAAATCATTTGTTGATAAAGCTAAAGTTATGGAGTGAGAAGAAAACAATCAAAATGTTTTGTTCAGAGTGAGTGAGAGGACAGGTAGGGAGATAGAAGATTGTAAAAAATACAGAAAAAACCAATGTTAATATAAAATATGTCAAGAATTTAGAAATAAATGATAACAATGATAAAGACTGCAACATAATAAATCGTAATTTAACACTAGGTTTATTGAACATTCGATCATTGATTTCTAAAACTGATACGATCTATGATTTGATTCATGATGGGCTAGATATTTTCGTTTTAGTTGAAACTTGGCACGGATCTTCGAATAACATTTCTGTTAAATCATCAATGCCACCAGGATATAGTTATGTTGATTTTTTAAGAATAAATGATCCTCACCATGGGGGTTTAATTATTTACTTCAGTAATGAATTTAAGTTTAAGAAAATAGATCTGCCAATATTTAGTTCATTTGAAGCACTTGCTCTTAAATTATTTATTAGCATTTACCAATGGTTAGTAATTTATTTTTTGAAGAATTTTTATGTTTACTAGAAAATATCACTTCTTTTAGTTGAAATATCATACTTTTGGGTGATTTCAACATTTACCTTGAGGAGCAGGAAGATCGTCATACTGTAAATTTATTGGAAATATTAGAAATGTTTCAATTATTTATTAGCAACAAAGATTTTGTTCTATTAGCCCTCTACAGGCCAGGATCAGTTTCAGTTAGTAATTTATTTTTTGAAGAATTTTTATGTTTACTAGAAAATATCACTTCTTTTAGTTTAAATATCATACTTTTGGGTGATTTCAACATTTACCTTGAGAAGCAGGAAGATTGTCATACTGTAAATTTATTGGACATATTAGAAATGTTTCAATTATTTATTAGCAACAAAGATTTTGTTCTATTAGCCCTCTACAGGCCAGGATCAGTTTTAGTTAGTAATTTATTTTTTGAAGAATGTTTATGTTTACTAGAAAATATCACTTCTTTTAGTTTAAATATCATACTTTTGGGTGATTTCAACATTTACCTTGAGAAGCAGGAAGATCGTCATACTGTAAATTTATTGGAAATATTAGAAATGTTTCAATTAAAAAATTTGATCGACGAACCGACTCATGAACATGGAGGTATTCTTGATCTGATTATTTGTTCTCAAAATTTTCAGATTTCAGATATTAAGATTTTTCCCAGTGGGACTTTTTCAGACCATAGTTTAATTCAGGTTAATATACCATTAACTCATAAGCATCCTAAAATAGTCAAGAAACAAGTTAGATCCTGGAAATACCTAAATGAAAGCAATCTCATTAAATATATACAGACTTCTCCATTATCAAGGTCTTGCCAAAGCAATAATATTAATATTGAGTTTGATATTATGAGTTCTGAACTCAAGAAATTGGCTGATGCAGTTGCTCCACTTCGTTTTGCAGAAGTCAGATATGATTTTAATGCTCCATGGTATGATGGTAAATGTAAATCTTTCAAAAGACTTTGTCTAAAGAAAGAGAGGAATTACAGAAAATATCAGACAGAGAAGTGTAAAAATGAGTGGATAGCAGCTCTGAAAAATAAATCTAGGCTTTTTTCACAAAAAAGAAACAGTTATTGGAAAAGAATTGTTGCAGACAATAGTGGATCTCTTAAAAATCTATAGAATGTTATTAATAAAGTCCTTGTAATCAGGTCACTGGTCAGTCATTGAGTGAAATTGTTGGTTTAGATTCGTCTCAATTCTTAAAGTTTTTTAATGATAAAGTAAATAAAATTAAACAGTCTACCAATGTGTCTAATTGTCCGACTATTTGTCAAGCTCAGTACAATGGGAATTGTTCTTTCCTGATTTTATGCTTTTAACAGAATCTGACGTTAGAAAAATTGTACTCAGTTTGCCATCAAAAACATGTATGATAAATGTCTTTCCGACCCATATTTTAAAGAAATATACTGATTTATTCATCGTTTTTCTTACCAGTATCTTAAATCTGAGTTTGAGCAGTGGCACATTTCCTAATGGTTGTAAGCATGCTATGGTTTATCCAGTTTTAAAGAAAGTGAATATGGATCGAAATGATTTGTCTAGGTATAGACCAATTTCCAACATCTGTTTCATTTCCAAGATATTTGAACGAGTGGTTGCCAAACAGCTCTTGAATCATTTGAATGTAAACAACCTGCTACCAGTTCACCAATCTGGATATCGCCGCTATCATTCAACAGAAACTGCACTGCTTTATGTGTCTTCTGAGTTGTTTGCTGCTTTGGACAAACAACATGTGGCTCTAGTCACGTTTTTAGATATGAGTGCGGCATTTGATTGTATAGACCATCAGATTCTCTTGGAAAAATTGGCTCATGATTATGGTATTTCCGGTACTGTTATCAAGTGGTTCAGATCATATCTGTTTGACAGGAAGCAACAGGTAGTTTTCAATAATGTGTTATCTAATGAAACGGTTTTGACATCAGGAGCGCCACAAGGTTCAGTGATTGGGCCTATTCTTTTTATTATGTATACCGCTGAAGTTTTTAAAGTAATTGGTAATTTCGGTTTTAAATATCATGCCTATGCTGATGATATTCAGATTATAGTTAGTAATAAGCCAGAATTACTGCAATCTGAAATCAACAAACTTCTAACCTGCCTAAATAACATTGAAAATTGGATGTCAAACAATGGTCTTAGATTAAATCAGCAGAAGTCAAAATTTGTTCCAATAGGTACATGGCATCAGCTGATGAAACTTAATATCGATTCAGTGAAAACAGGTTTGGTTCATTTACGATTGGACTATTGCAATGGTCTGTTTTACGGTTTGCCAGATAGGTCTATTTCTGCAATTCAATCTATTCAGAATAGAGCAGCCAAATTGATTGTTGGAGGTCTCAAATTTAACCATGTTACGCCAATTCTTAAGGGCCTTCATTGGCTTACTATAAAGAAAAGAATTAAATATAAAATATGTATTTTAATGTATAAAACTGTGCATGGCTTGTTACCAAGTTATTTGATAAATAAAATAAAAGAAAAGTCTATAATGATGAGTGGTATGAACCTTTGATCAGATGATGGCATTTTGCTGGTTGTACCCGATGTCAATCTGCAGATGGCATCAAGAGATTTTGCAGTATCTGGACCAATGGTTTGGAACAGCTTATCGAGATCTTTTAGAACTAAAGATTTGAAACTTGATGATTTTAAAAAGAAACTTAAAACTTACTTATTTTCGCTTTGATTTTGTTGTTAAGTGAATAATTATTTGTTTGTTACTACCGCCATTGACTGTTCTTTTTTTTCTTTTTTGACTTTGTTTGATTATAGATAGCGCTTTTGAGAACTTTTTGATTTTAATTAGCGCTTATAAATGTTTCATTAATAATAAAAATTATATATATATATATATATATATATATATATATATATATATATATATATATATATATATATATAATTAGGAATAAGGTTCTCGGTAAGACAAACGTTGATAGACACAATTCTAAATGCGCCAGGCCCAGATGAGATAGTTGCTGAAGAAATAAAACGCCTTGATGAGTGTTACATATTTCCTGTGCTAATTACCAGCTCTGAGTCCTGGAAAATTTCTAAAAAAATGGAAAAAAGAATTAATGCTGCTGAGATGTGGTTTTTGAAAAAAATTATGAAAATTAGTTGGACCTCTCATACCCCCAATGAGGATGTATTAAAACAGTACGGTTATGAAAAAAGGAAATTACTACAAATAATCCGACAGGGGCAGTTAAAGTTTTTTGGTCACTTCATGCAATAGGAAAGAATGGAAAATCTAGCAACTACTGAAAAGATTGCAGGGAGAAAAGATCGCGGTCAACAACGAATAACATTTGTGAGGTCCTTATGTCACTTGTTGAATATCACCCCATTTTAACTATTACAAAGTGTTAAAAATCGGGTTTTGTGGAGGTAGATAGTTGCCTACGTCCTAAAAGGATAAGGTACGAAAAAGAAGAAAACCCCAGATAGCATTAATTAATTTGGTAAAAAATTTTTTCAACTACGAAAAAGAGTGAATTCATAGTAATTGAGAGCATGTGCCATATTTGGACCGACCGCTGACAAAACTTTGTGCAATGAAGGCCTTGGGAATGACAAATATAATTAGGAATGAGGCCCTCAGAAAGACAAACCTTGTTGAACAGTATACCCTACATGGAATAAATTAATGTTATATATACATTATACAATGTAAACTACGCATAAACACATTTATTCATTTATTAAAACTACTATGTATAGTTCTGTATACATGTAAAAAATATAACATACTCGTTTCCTTTCATTTTCAATGCATTTGAATTGTTCATAACTTTCTTCGAGTTTCAGATGAAGTTCGTTTGATGGTCCACTGCGCCTTCATAATAATTCATTATCAACAAAATTTAATCATATTCGCCGCCATCATCATCGTTTCATGAACCACCATCCTCACATCATCATCTTCATTATTTTATTTGTTTCACCGCTAAGGAATGAGAAGATCATGTATTTATACATAAACTTATTTAATTACCACCATCCATAACTCCAACATCACTAACATTCTCAACTACACATTCTTCCTTTTAATTATTACGATTATTCAACATCATTAAAAACAGTCTCAGATTGGAAGACAGTGACAAAGAACATAGGGTATGGGCAGTGAAGATACCAAATCATCTCATGCCAACCATTCAGCATTTTATTTGCATAACAGTTTCATATCAGTACAACAGCTTTATAAGCATTTACAGAGTTACAGTATAAACAGTGTGCATAATGTGAAGTTTTGGTAGCAGAATGAACAATTAAAAATTAATTTCATGCCAGAGTTAAATAAGATTATGTCGACCTGAACCCATTCTAATTATTTATTCAACCGTTGTTTATCATCTTTATAACAATAACTTAGAAACAAGAATCACAAAACAAAGAAGACAATACAGCAACAGCATGTTATACAATATCGTATCATAATAATATAACACAACTACAACACCTGACAACAAGATATCATACACGCACAGCATACTTGATGGGTCTGAGATTGTTCTGAGGCATGCTACAGAATCCTGGGTTAAGGATAAAGTTGTTGTTTACTGGAGAACCCATCATGTAGTTTGAAGTTTTCATGAACAAATTTGCAGAATTGTTGGCATTGTAGCTGATGTTATTTGGTTGATTAGTAAATAAAGAATGGTGTAGTTGCTGCTGTTGTGGTTGTTGTTGTTGCATTTGACTGTTAGGCTTGCATTGCCACTTGTAAGAGTTGTAATGAGGAAAAGCAGTGTTGTTCAACATCTTGGCACTAGCATTGCTGATATAACTTGGCGAAGCATGTCTCATTTTGCTAAGAAGCAGGTTATGGTTCATGGGCGGCGGTAAATTACCAAACATTACATTTTTGTTGTTGCTCTGTTTGTTTTGGTAAATGCTGTTCTGTGCATTACTGTTGGTCGTAGTGCCACGGTTATATACATTGTCATATATGTTGCTCGCTTGGCCGGGAAAGAGGTTGCTAGGAAAAATGTTGTTGGTTGTGCCTGGGCTCACGTTGTTTTGCAAATTAATTTTATTGAAGTTGCCATCAACGGTAGGTGAAAATTGTTTGACCTTTTCATATTCTTGGATGACGTTTTCTAGGTACTGCTGTTTCAAACTTGGCGGCCACATGTTGAAGTCAGTTAAAAGTTGGGAATGATTCATCAAACCATGGCTGACATTCATTTTGCTATTTTTAATGTTGTTCATTCCGTCGCCAAATATGGTGTCACTGTTTGGCACGCCCTCCTTAGACATATAATTACCTTGCATTCGCATACTTTCAGCTAAATAAGCATCCATAATATGCTTCAGCCTTTGATCCATACTGTTAAAATCAGCAAGATTGAATTTATTGGCACTGGCATCTGAGTTACTTATTTTAAGTTTCGAGATGGGCAGTGGATTGGAGTGATTGTTTTTAAAGCTGGCTTGCTGTGAGGAAAGAACGCCGCTGACTGGCTGGAAGAGGTGGTTATCATATTTATTCATCCAAGGATCAATGGTGTCATTGCTCATGTCGTCTTCATTCAAATCATCAAAATTATCTAGCATGTGCTCGATAAAGTTCTTGCAGAATATATCTTCATTATTAAAGTCTTCATTGACCCTCTTATCACTCGCCATCTTTACATCTTTATCATCCTCCTCATTGTGGCTAGTGTATTCATATCCTGATGAATTATGTTCAAATGTAAAAACGTTACTGTTTCTAACATTACCGCCAATATTGCCCCCAATTTCACTGATGTTGTCATCATCAAACCCTTTTAAACTGTTCATGATATTAATTTTAGTTTTGGCCATTCTTCCATCAGTTCCATTGTTTTTGTTTCTCAAGTTGTTGTTATTATTAGAATTGAAATTATTTTGCTGTTCCCACGACAGCTGACTGTCGGTAGGAGAAAGGAATGGCTTGTAGTTCAAATTTTTCCTCACGTCGTCCTCCTCCTCTGAATTGAATGCGTACAAGTTAACACCAGTGCTAAAGGGGCTGTAGTAGCCAGCGTCGTGACTTGTCAGGTCTTCACGGCAACTGCTTTTTGACAGTAAACGATATTTCGAAGAAGATTTTGCATTTGAGTTATTCGGTTTGATTTTGTTGAAATCAAAAGATGTTTGTTGATCATTTAACTCCCACTCCTCTCCTGTTAAACAATTGCAACAAAATATTTTGGACAGTTTAACTACCTTAGGCATCAAACTATTTCTTTCATAATAATTTTAAACATAACTTGGCATGCTTGAAAAACCAATTTTTAACAAAAACATCCCAAATTCAACTAGTACCATAATGTTAAAGACAATTCCTAACCCTTAAACCTCAATGAACTTCAGCTTCATAAAGATTTAAACAATACATTTATGGACAAAATTCTGTTAAAAAGAACAAACCTTCATCAAACTTGACAGCTTCATACTTTGACGACATCTGCAACAAATCTGAGAGACAAGAATTATGCTGTAAGCTCCCATATGATGTTGAATTGTGATCTGATTTGGCTCCTGGAGAGAGGCTTCCATCTGTACAAAAATTAGAAGCAGGCAAGATCCAGGGATTGTCCATGACAGAGGAAGAACTTGGAAACGATGAACTGCATTTCAACAATAAAGTTAAAAAAACTCAATACCAGCAGCAAATCCGAAAAAATAATCTTTGCTTTTCAGTTATTTGCAGTAACACAAAAATAAATAAAGGGAATCTATGTTAAACAAGCAGACAAACTTTTCAATAGAGAAGACATCAGAACTGCATGAAAAGTGTTGATGCTTGTGAATGTTGTCAATCAGGTTATTTGTCTGACCTATTTGAGGTCCATCCTGCCAAAATAAACATATCAGATTAATAAAATCATAGAAATCACTCTCTGCAATGAATTAAAGTTGCTTGTATGTAGGCTCTTTATAATGTTACATTGCATTTAACTCTCCCTAAATATATTCTATGTCAAATTCTCATTTTGAGTTAAAAAATAAAAATGGAAGACTAATTTGAAAAAATAAATTTGGAGTTTAAATCTTCATTTACAAATTTGTGACTAGTTTTGAGTATTTTAAATTCTATTTTTATTTTTTATTACTTACAATTCTACCAAGTGAGTGAAATTCCTTTCAACAAAAATTTCTCATTTGCCTGCCCCCCAAATAATGATTCATAACATGGAGATCATTTAAAATTTCAACTAAAAACTTACTTGTTCTTTCCAAAGACGTTTCAATAAGAGAGATGAAGAGTCGAGACAACAGTCATCAGAACATTTGTCAACTTCGCTGTTGAAAGAGTGGAATATGTCATCAATTGAGCTCTGTCATTGGTTATTAAAAATTGTTATTATTATTATTAACTATTATTATTATTATTATTATCACTGAACACACACCACCAAGTCCAAGCCAAAACCTTAAAACTATGAATAATCACAATTTTATTTAACTGTACTTTAAAAAATATTCCCATTATTGTATACAATTATAAAATTTGTCATTCCTCTATTCACCATTATGAATACAAACAAACTAAATAAAATTGATTAATTACCAGATTTTGTCATTTATTGAAAATATGGTCCAACCCTAAATATGTTCCTTACTTGTCAGAATGAAGATGCAGTTTAAACTTAATCAATACCAACAAACATTCTGTTTCAACTCAAAGAGACAATTGATTTTGCCCATTTTGCTTAACAAATCTTATTACAAAACTAATCACTTGTAACTTCCATCTAATAAGTTGCCTAGAATACTAAACAATAATAACTTGGAAAACAAAAACCCTGTAAACAATAAATTTTAACTTTATCCAAAGACATCCTAGTCATTCTAATCTAATGTGGTGTTAAATATTCTTGGCTCAACTAATGTAGTAAATCAATTTGTAAACATTTCTAATTTGAATCTTTTGATCATCAAAACTTATTACAGTGGCATAAAGAGGTCTTTCATAATAACAGTTCTTGCTGATTTTGGTTTCTTGTTGCTGTGATGGAAAAAATGGAGGAACCAGAGGATTGAACTTGAAATTCTGTAAAAGTTCAACAAAATAAAAAACAATCCTAAGGTTGATTAATTTAAAAAAAAACTTCCTTATTAATCATCAAATAAAATGGGTAATTAATAATAAGTATAGTATTTTAATATTTCTATTAAATAAATAAATAGACCAAAAATATAAAAAAAATTAGGTCAAGCTAGTAACCTTGGTCATTGTTTGGCATTTTCCCAAGAATTTTAATTTAACTTTTAAGTTTTACAAATTTTATTATACGTGTAATGTAATATATTATCAGTAATATAAATTATAAACAGAAGCCTCTTATAAATTCTAATGCTTAAAAGTTACATCTTGGATAACTCAACAAATATCTTATATTTTTTAAAATTTCATTTGAGATTTGATTATTAAAAAGTTAATTAAATCATTAATTTTAATTACAATTTTAATTCGTTCTAAAATTTTAAATGCAAATTCAGTATTTAAAATGTTTTCCTAAGCAAACATTTGTCAATATTACCAATGAACTATCGAAAATCTGTTCTGAGAAACTTAAATCGAACAATCAGACGTTGAAAGGCTGAAATAAAACGACGTTAAAAAAGAATCAGCTGACCGATTCTATTCTATTCTATTATTATGATGTTGCCTCTGTACTGCGCAGTTTATGATCGTTCGTGACTGGGCGCTGTGTATTTTCAATAAGAAAGTGCACTTCTTAGCAAATAAATAAACCTATGACGAATCAATTTAAATGGCAATCGCAATGACTTGTCGGGGCTCGAGCTGACACAGATTTATTACATTATGTTCAACTCGAGTCATGAAATTGCTAGAAAGTCCATGTGCTTGTTGAACAACGCAATTAAGAACTGAAACGAAATAAATTACTCACTTCGTAGTAAAATCTGCTTTTATCAGATTGGAGTTTATATTCTGTTATCATTTCTTGTCTTTCAATAACATGACTACGTAAATTGTTAACAAATTCTTCAGTTTGAACAGTTACTCGGTTTCTAACATCATTTCTCTGGGCTTGCAGTTTTGTTTAGATTTCGTAAGTGAATGAACGTGTGGGAGGCGATGTTTCGTGAGCAGAGCGCCTGGAAGCCACACCTCTTTGTTTACTTCTGAACAGGTTTTGATCAAATTGAGGTCACTAAGATTTTTATCGCGTTGTACTACAAATGCTAATTTGACGAAATACGCCAATTAGTCTGTCAAATCGTTGAAAAAATTCAAAAAGATTTAAAATTAATTTAACTGCGTTGTACTTTTCAAATGATACCTAATGAATATTTATGAATGAGAGCCGTACGCTTTGAAGCCAGCTCCTTGGCCTCTTTTTTATATGCGCAATTTCGTGTACGATTGCGCTCGTTTTTTTAACGTTCTGACCGCTAAATATTGCGACACGGGGAAAATGGGTTGTAAGTGGATCAGTGACCTCTTTAGTTGATTTTTGTTAAAGTTGAAATAAATGTAAATGTAAAAAAATAGCTGGACGCCATGGCAGTGGAAATTAAAAATTCATTTTTCCAATGCGCAAAAGTAAAGGTATTATTTGAATAGGTATTTACGTTCTACGTAATTTACGCTCAGCGTTATATAATGGGCACGTTGCAATTGCAATTAACTTAATGTATTGCACCTAGTACATTCATGCTACATAGCAACTAATCAATGCTTTTGTATTGTTATGGTTTCAAAAAAACATCGTTGTTTCTTTATGGCAGTGGTTATGCCCTGGATAAGTTACAAAATGTGTTGTGTGTTCATATTCATCTGAAAACGTGTCATTTGTAGCATTTACAGCGTTTTTTGTTTTAAAATCATTATTTAGATGTTTTATCCATTTATTCTACTTTTTATTGACATTCAAAAATTATTTCTTTTTAAAATATGGATTCTAATTAAAAAATATTTTTTTATTTGCGAGCAGGATTTTTAGTGTTAACAAAAACAGTAAAACAATTAAATATAATAGTTATTACACAAAAAGTTTTGAAACTGAGCTCTGGAATATCAACATCACTGTATAATGTAGCTGCTGTTACCCTATTAGATAAAGCGACAAATAACGCAATTGTTTATGCAATTAATTTGATATAGCTTCGGCTCGTTAAACCAGCTCTTCTTAACCTTTATAGATTCAAGGACCATTTAAAAATGTGTCTCAGCCACGGACCACAACTGAAAATTTTGCTACTAACGCACTTGAAATATATATATATATATATATATATATATATATATATATATACACATATATATATATATATATACATATATATATATATGTTGGTAATAGACCATAATTTTTACAATATTCTATAAATTCTACCGAATGTTTGGCGTTAATATGTTTGTAGTTCGTTTTTTCGATTTTTCTCACTAAAGTTTTTTGGTGAACGTTTAGTTTATTAAAATTCAAAATAAACTTATTTTTCGAATTCATGCTGCAAATAAGGCCATATTTCGATTCCGAATTGCACCTAGTACATTCATGCTACATTGTAAATATATATATATATATATATATATATATATATAATTATTATTTCATCATATGATGGCGTAACAGCTACTTATAGTTAGTATAACATAGTTCTTGTATAACTATTAGACTTAGAGAACTAAAGTTACCACACTTGACTATAGGTGTATTGAAATTGTTATTTAAAATTATTTATTATATATTTTAATAGATGTTTTAACTTCAAATTAAAAAGTATAATGTTCGTTTTACATTTATGTTGGCATACAGCGTATCTCACGGCGTATCATCAATTTTTATGTCAAATATGAAACAAATTGTAATTGCATCTTTTACAATGAACAAATGTCACTTGCTAACAGTAATTGATAATAATAAACAGGTGGTTTTTTAACATTAGAAATAATGCTACATTTAATTTTAGTGTGAGCCTTGAGCTTGCACAGTTGAGCAAACGAGGCGAAATGCTCAAAAGATTCAATCGGAGTTCATCTTTTTCATTTTTTTATTTAAAAAAAACTTGCAGTTCACACTTTGCTTGGGGACCACCAGGCAAATTGTTGGTTCTCAATCTGTGTGTTAAACTAAAGGCTGCGTTAAACTATTCACAAGTTAACTTTTTTTTTACAAAGTATCGTCAGCAGCGTTGATACAATAGAATTAACACCAAATGACGGGTACTAACCCGTTACCCGTTTATGGACATCAGGCTGCGTTAAAACAATATGTGTAGCGAGAAATGGAAAAACTATATACCTAGAATAAATCATTGTCGACCATGGGTAAACATCAATCTCGATATTTGCCGATGTCGGTAATTGTTTTTACTTTTCTCATTGCGACTACCAATGCCAAAGGGTACCCACTGTTTTTTAAGTTCCAGATACCAATCGCGATAGGCATCAATGATGTTCACATCTAGTTGCTTCGACCATTGCCTGCAATTTTTAGCTTTTATTGTTATACTACTTAATCGCAGTGTACTATTGCTTAACCCTTTAATAGTGCATAGCGTCCTTTTCACGGATACCTTATATTAAATTGAATTACTCAGACACCCTAACGTATTTGCTTAAAAATAGGACCTGAACATTCCTCAGTTATATTATTAACGAAATAATCTAGATTTGCGCGCATATACAACCATTTTTTTGTTAGTTGTTTGTTTTTTCCACTTAATCGTAAAACTTTAGTCTTTTGAGATGTCTCAACTACTGACAGCTTTTTTGCGATGTTCTTTTTAAAGGACGCCATGCACTGAATTCCACCTTGTTTAAGTCCCGTAACAAATGAATTTAAAATTGTGCCTAACCCTATTTACAACAAATGTTAAACAATAATATTTTACTTTAGGTTATGTATGTAGTATACATTTTTTAGTTTGGTATTTCCTGCCAAAATACAACTCTTCCCTTCATTTTGGTCAAATTTAAATGGTGCAGTGATAGCTAATTAGTGTTTGTACACTGTTTTCATTTTTTATTGCTAGACATTGTATATTTTTCTATTTTCGATTGAATTCACCTGTAGCTGAAGTAGTCAGCACGATAGAAAGAAGAGGATATAATTCAAGTACTAACCATTTAAATTTACTACTTGAAAGACCTACAAAATCAGATGAAAGACATGGGCCAGAAGAAGGATGATGTGATATAAAAAATCTTTCTGGTAATTCGGTGCGTGGCATTGCTGAAGCCATTTTTGAGATGTCAGGGTTCAAAAAGATTAATGTATATGCCAAAGATTTCGAAGATGAAAGCACTAATAAATAAAAGTAACCAGGTTTATGCTGTGATGGCGTAACTGTTAAAATAAGCAACCCAAAATTTAAGCGAACATCTCGCTAAACAAACGTTTCAAAGCTTTACAAAAATATAACAACTAAAAAAACCCATCTAATGCAAGTATCATCAAAATGAATTTGGAAAGGGCCCAATTTCCCCTGGATGGAGAATGGCAAGAAGAGGTTGATCGGCCCCCAGCCTCCTCTGTTGGAGTTTTTTTTGAAAAGCAGTAGGTGAACATATCACGAAAATGAGCAATCTGTGCTAAATGCAGGTATCAAAAATTTTAGCAGTAACATCAGCAGATATTCGTTTGGCGATTGCAACACCACTAATATCTTGTTGTGTTCCAGTAGCAAACAGACAAATGTATTGGGAAAGTCCTGAATATGTGCACAATGCA